GCTGATGTCACACTTGTAGAGGCCTTCATCAGACCTGGAAACATGCTGGATGGTCATGTGACCTGTAGGCTGCTTCCTGATGAGGGAGCCATCTTTATAGAAAGCAGCTGTGAGGTTGGAGGGAGTGGTCTTTGGTTTACAGAGCAGAGTGACGTCATCTCCCTCCATCACAGGGAGGACAGGACTCTGCAGGATCACTGATCCACCTCAACACAGAGACAAACTACAGCATTTCATCCATTTACACACAGCTTCATCAACACTAACTCCACACACTCAGCTTACCAGTGACTGTCAGGTTAACCATGTTACTGATGGGACCCTCTCTGGACTCACACCAGTAAACCCCACTGTCCCAGGTGAAGATGTAGCTGATGTTACAGGAAGAACCAGCACCTTCTCCCCACCCATCTCCACATCTCTGAGTCCTGTGTTGTTTGCTTGTGTTTCTCCTCAGAGTCCATCCAGCAGAGCTGTCGTCCTCCTCACAGCTCAGAGACACAAAGTCTCCTTTAAAGAACTGAGAGCTGCTGGGACTCACAGTCAGACGAGCTGTGAGGGTTAAAATGGAAAATTATTAATCATTTTATTGTTGTCAAAACAGTAAACGTATGTAATTCTTGCAAGTGTAAAACAAATGAGTTATTAAGTTATTCAATTTATTTCATTCATTTAGGTTGCCTTTGCTGTTTTGGCTGCTTTGACTCAAGTAATCCTCATCATGGTTTTTGGGGTGAATAAAGTTCATCTTATAAAATTACAAACGTTTTTGTGTGGATGAGATGTTCAAAAGCACAGAAATTAAGTTTACTGACCTTGGCTTGTTGTGCAGCAAAGAAGTAGGCAAAAAACTGATGAGAAATTACATTTTGGTTAGTTCAGTTATTATATAGTAACACTTTACCCCCAAAAAACCTTCAAACCCAGGTACACATAAAGAAAGGCTTTTGTTGATCTAGGACACAAAATCAGTTTCTCAAAAAATCTACCAAATTACAAACTAAACTGCAATCTCTTGGATCTTTAAAGGTATGCAAAAAAATTGCTTAAAACAAGATGGATGTCCTTCATGTAGCTTTTCTTTCAAAGTACAGCCTTGTAGTCACTTTAACATAAATGATTATTAACATCAGTAGCTCTTGCTACACATGTGAGCTTTGTTCTAGGAGAGAATGAAAACATATAATAAATTAAAATTAGTCTTCATACTACACTGTTACTGATTAACTCTGATTAACAATGGCACTAATCTCAATGAGGACTTAAAACATCAGGTATAAACCATATTGGTTTTTACTTAATTTAATAAATGCAAAATTAGACATAAATTTGCATCATTGAAGTATATTAGCTATGACAGCTGCTCTGTCCTCTATTTTGTAGCCTGTTATGTTAGCAAATGTAATGAAAGTGGCATGAAGGTGGTAAGGAGGGACATTGAAATGCATTACACAAAAGTGAGTACATGTCTACATTGAGGTTATGTTGATATAATCATTGATTGAACTTCTCTTGCTTATTTCCTGGTTAACCAATGCAAAATTTCACTTTAGATCCACAGTTGGTCCTCGTGGTGTTTTGAACTTGAATTCAGCCTGATTTGTTTTTCATGTCTTCTCCTCCATCATCAGTTATCAGGAGAGCAGACAGTCAAAGTACAAGAATTCAAACAAACACAGAGATTCTACTTACAGAGCAGACACAGCACAGATGTTTCCTTCATTGTCCTTCTCACTCATTTGAGCTTTTTTTCATTTCTGTCACTGACACCAAGTAAAGCCCGCCCTCTTCCTCTGTGTATGTACATCTTAATGGTATTTAAAGGTAGAACTGTTTAAACTATATAAATATACTTATTAAACATATTTTTTTTGTGGTTAGTCAGTAAGAAAAAGGCTTTGGTGCTTGTTTTAATGTTAATCAGTATCACATATCATATCTTAAATCTTCTGCCTCTTAGTAAGGCAAGGCGAGTTTATTTATATAGCACAATTCAACAGCAAGGTGATTCAAAGTGTTTTACTAGACATTAAAAAACAAAAACAAATAGAAAGGATGATTTAAAATGAAAAAAGGGAACAGTAGATAAAATCAGTAGTTAAATGTAAGTTTTGAAATTTAAGCTTAAAGGTAAAACAGTGCGGATTTGGTGCTTTATTCAAATGCAGCTCTGAACAGGTGAGTCTTCAACCTGGATTTAAATAAGCTGAATGTTTTTCAGCTGATCTGAGGCTTTCTGGGAGTTCGTTCCAGATATATGGAGCATAAAAGCTGAATGCAGCTGTTAAAGTGAATTGTTAAATGTTGTCATTTTTATGCTTACCATCTCTACATTGTTTCAACTCTGTGATGAAAGGCATTCCTTTGTCCCTCTCCCAGCCTCTCGAGGTTCTGGGGGGAGGCTGTAGTGTTTTATCACAAGCACTTCCTTGTGAAGGTTTGGTTGATGTTTGGTAAGCTTCCTGCCTTTTTATGGTTTCACTGTGTTGTGTATGGTGAACCAATACAGGAATTGAACCATGCATTGGGTGTGATCAGGAGATTACCCCCTTTATGACCAAGGATGTTGTGATCAGGAAGACACGCACTCACACACACATTCTTGCACACGTACTTATACGTGCACACACACGCAAACACACACAGTGCCTTGTCTTTGTAACCAAGGGGGGTTTACGAGGGGAGGTACTTGTGTAAACTATTGTAAACTATTGTCTGTGAAGGTTCTCAGTCATCCAGGTCATCGTAGTCAAAGGATTGTAAACTATTGTTTATTGTAATGGGGTTTTCAATAAAAGGCAGCGAGCGGAGGCCGGAGTTGGGGTCATTCGTGATAGGATTCGAAGTGCGTTTCTGAGAAAGCGACCGAGGCCTCCCTTGCGCAAGTAAATCGATCGATCGATCGATCGCTGTTGCCTTGTTTTTTCCTTCACGGGAATAAGTCTCTGAATCGGTGGGGTCTGAGTTACAGACCCCACAGCAGCTTCTCCATGTCTGGTTCTGACTCTGGGAACTGATAAAAGACCGGATCCAGATGACCTGAGGGATCTGGAA